ATTCAGGAGGGTGTTGCTCAGTGCGCTTCCCCTGCAGTTTGATGTGTTGTTCAGAAGGGCACATGACATTCTCTAGAATTAGGCTAGTCTTAGGAAAAAAGGCCCTTGCCAATTAAACCACACTCTGCTAAGAAGGAAATGCCAGTAATGTGACTTTATGAGCCAATAATTGGATACTTAATCTAAAATTTGTTCCTGTCTGAGCAAAATGTGGAGGCTTAGACTAATGATGCTGGTTTTGCTGGTAGATTAAGCAATGGTACTTGAATGAAATAAATGTTTGTTACTGGTAACCTAAAGGGTGTGTATAGTAGGGCTTTTTGTGTTTTCTGGGTATTAAGACATAGATTGAGGAAACTGATTTCTTTCATTTAAAAAGTCAGATGGGAAAAAAATTGACAAGCTGTTAAACTGAGAAATCTGGATGAATCTCTTTGTGGTGAGCAACATTTCAGCTCTCCTACTTGCTGCTTCAAAATTTGTAAACCCAGCCCCTGACATTTACAGTGATGTTTATGCAGCATCCATGGACGGTTGCCAGCCCATAAGAGATGGTTAATGAAACTTGTTTGAGATACACCTTTTAGAATGGACTAGTATTACTTTGTTCTCCTTTCCTTTAAGTGCAGAAATGCCTTTGGCTTCCTAGTGTCATCTTTATCTTTTCTGTGATGATGAATCAAGTGAAATAAGACTGTAACCTCTATAGCCAAAGTGAAACATCATCTTAGATGTCTTGTGGCTCAGAAGCTCTGTTGAGCAACACAATGAAAGAAACTTGGTTAAATGAATATCCAAATAAATACCAAAAATTGCATTTTAAAGGTCAGATTCTGATTTTTTTCTTCTTCTTTCTACTGACATAAATCTAGAGGGATTGCATTCATTTTACTGCAGGTTTGTCTCAGTGAATGTGAGGGCAGAGTCTGATCAGGAGTTTGTTTGTGACAGACCTGTTAAACATAAAGAATATCTTGCTAAGCCATGATTTTTTTAGCATGTTAAGGAACCTATTTTTAGGAAGTGTTCTAGCTGTTAGACTTCATAGGCATTATGAATTTCTTTATTTTCTATAGCTTTAG